CTAGAACTGCCAAATGGATTCATTCACACCCCACCTTGAAACAATCTAGGAGGGTTCTATCCCCCTCTATAAAATTAGTAGAGCATGCAGAATTATTTTTCTTACAGAAGAAATAACAATTTGTGATTTCATTTAATAAAGAATGAATGATATCCTCCATGGATGATTTCAGATCTTTTGAGATACTTGTCTTCAACTTTGATTTTAAGGGCCCAATGAAATGTTAAAGGCAACATAAGCTTCCATAAGTATAATTCAACCAGCTTGTGACAACAAAGGCAAAAGGAAGTATTTCAAACTCTTAGAAGTTGGTATGCTTGGCACACGCTAACTATGCTTATATCCTATGGCTATTAGGCATGGAAACTTTCTATGGAATATCCATTACTCATTCCCTCTGCTCTAAACACATCGCCTGTCAGAAAAATGGTGTGGGGAGGGGTACAGAGGAAGCCAAACTTAAAAAGCAGGAAAAGGCAGAGACAAGTAAATCCATTGAAGATTTACACCACGTTTTCAATGGCTTCTTTCATTTAATTTTCCCTGACTTTTTAAATTAGTAAATATACTGGACCCAGAGGGAAACATATGGAGAAAAGCAGGAAAACAAACAAACAAAAAAACAAAGCAGTGCAAATCTCTGTGTCTTGTACAATAGCCCTTATTTGGTCTTTGCATTTGCGTATCTGAATGAACTGTGGTCTGCTTTTCATTAATCTCCATCTGGAGCTGTTGCCTGCTTTGTTCAGCAATTTCTGGTCATTTTGGCCTGACGGTGACTGTTTTGTTTTATGTTGCCATATTTTACAGAATGAAAACTGCCACAGCCACCACCCAAGAAAGAACAATCTTGAAGATGAGAGGTTATGTTGAAGGAGTTCTCCATGACCCCTTCCAGAATAGAGAGTGAGTGTGTTTCTCTGGGCCTGCCTACAGTAGAGAACTTCAGGGTGTGAGTGGGATACAAGGAGGGAACAAAAGCCTTTCTTTCAGATGCTAAGTTAGGGTAAGAGTCTAAGGTTGGGCTAATATATCAAGGTTCACTTTGAGGCTTTTTCTTTTCATCTTCAAGGAGACTAGTGAATGTACTTCCTCACACCCCACTAAATACAAACTTGCATGTAATATACTGCATGTGCAACAGCTCATGAAAAATTGAATTCATATCATATCCTTAAAAACAAAAATAAATAAATCCTGTCTTCTTAAGATTTGGTTTTAATTGCACAGCCGGAGTCTGGAGGCGAAGTTGCAAATCGTTCAGAAGCAAGTGTCTCAGAGAAGACCAAATCCAATTTGCATTCACTAATGACAAGCTCGTGATTTTGTTTGAAAAAGCCACGTCACCCTTTCCATTCCCTTCCTTAAGAAATCCATGGTCACGAAGAACTCAATTTCTGCCGATTATTTAAAAAAGCAAAACATAATATTCTCTCCCAATTGATTACCATTTTCATCTGACATTATTTTACAAGAAACAAAGAAATGTATAGTCATAGGCTCCTCATAGTTCATAAAAAGAACCACCAAAACATAAATATAATAAATACAAGTGAAACCAGATCATTTTTCCAAGAACTGGTTTTGGTTTTGTTTTGTTTGTTTGTTTTGTCTGAAAAGACAACAGATTTGGAGAAATGTAAAGTTAATAATAATCTAGCACCCATATTCTCACCCCCTTGACATATTTTTTTGTTTAATATTGCCAGTATTTTATACCACAGCTGACACCAGGTGTTGCTGAATGTTATCCATGCACAACTCACTTACCCATCAAATCAGGCCATATTATTACTATTATTATTATTATTTTACAGATGGGGAAACTGAGGCACCCAGGAATGTTGAGTCATTTACCACAGATCACACAGCTTACTTAGTGGAGAGGCAGGGTTCAAACCAGGCAGTCTGGCTTTACCACAGATATAACTGTAAGCCATACTTACTCTCAAATATTTACCTAGTTCTGTATTTATTTTACACATGATTTTATATTCCTCTATATTCATTTAACTTCCTATAATAAACATGTTCATCATCTGACATAGTTTAGTATTCTTTCCTGTCATTGCAATGGCCGTGTCAGTTGTATATGCTCCATAAGCTGGAATTGGGAGGTTGCCTATACTTGTGTCCAATACAGAGAATGAAAGAGTGCTCAGCGTGTGCCTATTTACACATCCTTTAAACATTTGTTTGAATAAAATATTTGGGACAACATTCTCAGTGTGATTCCTACAGTTAATAATATGCCTTTTATTGCTCTCTCCACACTGACTTTATAAGAAGTCTCTACTAATTTAGGATGATGCCAACAAAGATGGGTGACCAGATGGACAGGAACCAGCATTGGATGGCCTGCATGAAATAATGTTTGCTACCTGAGTGGATATAAACTATCACTGCAAATTACTTTAATATGCATGTTTGCGGTTGTTTCTTGACTCACCCGGAAGACACTGCTCCTTCGCAGCCCTTTTAAGTGTTTGTTGGTTTTTGTTATTTTGTTTTTCCTTTCTAACATCTCCTCTCCCAATGGATCTATAAGTGCAGAGTTCTCCTTGCTCCTAAATCCATCTGGTTTTGCTCCTACTTAAAATCTCCAATTTAGAATCTTTCATCATAAAATCTTACACCCAGTGAATCTTCATTTTCACTATTGTCTATAGACCCCCAGGTATCATTGCTCTTAGCTCTCTACAAATTCCTTCTGGATCAGTTACTTTCCCCGATACTATTCTGCTTCAGTTCCTGGCTATTTCAATAAATACTTAGATGGTTGTTTCAATGAACTCCTCAATGATGTCACATCTTCCTTCCAACCTTAGAAACACACTCCCCTGGTTATCATTGACAACTATAAACAATTTTCCATAAATATAATTGCTGCCTCTTCCCAACTGCATGTTGTTTGTACTGGTAACCATTTCAAGGGCCATTTTTCTGAAAGGAATATTCTATATAGGATTCAGAATATCATTAAAATAATATTTTCCCTCAAACATGAAAGTGACAGTAATACCTTTCTGATCATGAGTGCTTACTTTTAGGATACCCACCTCCATGTATTTGAGGAAGATTATGATTCAGAATCACTACTGTTAATCCACAGGCTCCAAATGTTGAAAAGGTAACTGGAGGCTTTTATTTGTGTGTATAGAATGACCACATGTTCACTCTACCTTCTTTATACTGCCCTCAAGGCAAAAGGTCTAATAGCCCTCGGGCTTCCCATAAGGTCATCTTTAGCTACTCTTCTATTAAATGCTTTCCCTAGGAGGTTCCAGGGTCCATCTCTTCCTCCCTTCCTTCCTCTCTCCCTTTCCTCCATCTTTCCCTCCCTCTTTCATCTCCTTCTGTATTTATCAGTGCTTATTATGAGACTAGTAGTCTCCAAACCGCTTTTTAAATCCATATTACAATGAATAAAAATATTTTGTATTAGGAAACCCAAAATTCATTTGTATGTTTAAAACATATGCATTTGTAAAATTACACTAATATTGTTCTAAATCACACACAGGAGGTTGATATAAAAACAAAGAGAGATATGTTCTAATATTTTCTTCTAGCATCCCCAACAGATAGTCAAGCATTCCCCTGCAATACCTCACTTTGAAGGTAATCTTTCTAGGTTACACAGGTCCTGTCTTCATTGAGCTTAAGTCTCTTTGGAGAGAGAGAGAGAGAATTAAATAAGCTATTACAAGAAAATGTGGATAGGAGTGTTAGGAGTTTCTTCTATTCTAGCTACGTGGGTCTGCTCAATCACATCCTAAAATTCTTTCTCCCAGACCTTTCCCAAGCTCATCCATTCTGACTTGCCTTTATAAACTTCATTCCCCCAAAAGAAATCTTCATCTTCTCCTCTCACAGTGTTTTGTGCGTATCTCTATTATGGATATCTATGTTACACTTTCACATGTATTAGGCCAATAACACTGATCCTAGTAAACATGTTAGGATTAGTTTCTTGGTTTTCTCTTTGGTTTTCTTTTCAAAATGAACAATTAAATGACAGGAACCTGTCTTATTATTTTTTGGCTTGTAGTATCTAAATACCTAGTGCATTTGTGAGATTTTAGGAGATGTGCAATGTTTTGTTTTGTTTTGTTTTGTTTTTTTATTGCTGAATAGAACCTGACTACCATTACCCAAGTAGGCTACGATATATTTTCAGTATATGAGTGTCTGTTCCTAAAACATATGCACATTATATCTGTATGTGAAATAGGGGCAGTATTTAGAATGATCTTGGCTCTACCATACTTCTTGATGTCAGTATTACAAAAAAGGCTGGATTACAGGAACAACAAATAACATATGTTACAAGAAGCATTCCAATTTTCTAGTAAGAACTGAGTCATGCAAGAGAGACCATACAGATTTCACAAATAATATATAACGCAACCCTTGAAAGAGTATGGGATTCCCAGACATGAAGAAACATGAGTCACAGATATAGTCAAATAACTTCAGAAATGTTTCCAGGGGGAAGCAAACAAACAAAAAAAAAGACTTAATAAGATACCAACTCAGATCCCAAGAGATGCTGACAGCAGAAGCTTAGACAGAATGGGCCCATCCATAAATTAATTCCTAGTCAACCCATGTTGCAAAAGCTTTAAAGAACAGATAAATTAAAACGTGCTTTGCATGGGGAACTTTTCCCCAGAGTTCCTCATTTTTATATAGGAAATCAATTTGCATCACTGATGATATCATTCAAATCAGACAACCCAAAGTTGTTAAGAGGTAATTTAGTTTTACGCTGAAGCAATTTGATACTTGTTCTGATTTGTGATTTTCATTTTGTTTGTTAATGAAAAAAATTAATGAACAATGTTACTAGAAATACAACTCATCAAAGCCTCAGCATTATTAAAGAGGTTTGCCATATGCTGTACATCGTGATCATTGTGCAGTTGGTGCCTGGACCTCTGCCTTGGAGGAGCCATCAATCCAGCAAGAATCCATGGTACAGATGCCCTTACACATACCTTTGCACTGATTTGTGTTTTTGTCCAAAATTGCCTTTGTGGATACAATTTTTCCATACCTGAAAGAGAGAGAGAGAGGGAAAAATCCATGTTATTATAGGGCAATGAAGATGCTTAAAATACCTTAATGAACATTGGTACACACACAGTCGAGCAGGAATAAACCAAGAAAATAAGCTCTGCACTCCCATTTCACACCTGGATGATCACTTTTCACCAGTTCTTCTTTATAACTTGAGAATGTGCTTCCCTACATAATCACTGGGTTGAGCCTTCAAAAATAGACCTGTCAGGCTGTCATAGGTGGCTGAAAGGGGGTTGCTTGTGATTGTGATCAAAGTAAATCATACTGTGGATTGCTGGAGAAAAGCACAGACCTTGGCACCAGGGATAAACAGGGCTTACATCCAGCTCTGGCGCTGACCTAGTGTTGCAATGCTGAGCAGTTTAACACAACTTCTCCAAAACTATTTTTTTCATCTGTAAAAAATGAGAATTGTAGTAATTCCCTTTCAGGATTTGGGAGAGGGTTAAATTGAAATATTAAGATTTCCTAGCAGTGCTCCTAAGATAAATAGGATTTTTTTTTTTTGCTACTAAATACATACTGTAAGTTAATTGAGGATAAGGACTGAGTTTTGTATTCTCAGTGCCTGCCATCATATGTAATAGGAACCCAATAAATGTTTGCTATAAATAAATGAATACAAGTAATCCAGTGGTACTTCATCTACATTGAAGTTTCTACCATAAACACATATAAGTATATTCATTATTTTATCATCTCTTGCAAAAGACCTAGTCTAGGTTTGGTTTTTTAAAAGATGGGTAATATGGAGAATGAAAATCTCTTTAAGCCTGTTTCCTAAGGTATAAATGATAGGACTGAAGAAGATAATTTCTAAGACCCTGTCCTTCTTTAGGATTCCATGAAGGATGCTCCTGAATCATCATAACATGGAGAAATTATAATGTAAATTTAAGTGCCAAGTTTACTAAGAACTCATACTTATGTTCGAGATTTCAGCCATGTTACAACATGTTTGGCAAGTTTTCTTTTAATTCTGTGTTCCTAACCAAGTGTGAGTATATATGACAAATAGTAAATACTCCGTGCCAGAATAAACTAGGTTCCCTATCACCACTGTTTCTTTTGCATTTACAATACCCTCTTATTATATCTTTAATTCTTTGGAGCATTTTGGTGGTCATTTATTAATATTCTAGTGTTGATAATGTCATTGTGCTAGAAATGCCTTCGCCTCTTTTCTTCCCCCCCCCCCAGATGTTTATGGCTTGTTTTTGTTTTTGTTTTTTGGCAAAATTCATGATAAAGATTCTCAGTAAAATAAAAATTAAGATTGCCACTGTAGATTTTTTGTAAGTATACTTCATTGGGTTGACAATCTTAATTTGTTTTTTGTTTTTGTTTTTGTTTTTGTTTTTGAGAGAGAGAGAGAGAGAGAGAACACCCCTGGGCCAGGGTGGGGAGGGGCAGAGGGAGAGGGAGAAAGAAAATCTCAAGTAGACTCCATGCCCAGCACAGAGCCCCAACAACAAGCTTGATCTCATGACCCTAAGATTATGACTTGAGCCAAAATCAAGAGTCAGACACTCAACTGACTGAGCCATCCAGTCTCTAAGAGCCAACCACCTCTTAGACGGTTTGACCAAGGATGGACTGAGGGTCCTCTAGAAATTCATGGAATTAATGTCATTATGAAAATAATAGCACCAATAGCTTTGAAAATCATTATGAACTGACCTATCAATAGGTCACAATAGGAACTAGAATATTTGTATATACTTAGATGAAGGGGTCTGAGATAATTCCCACGAATCACCTACATGCCCCTTACTAAAGTCGGCCAGAACTGAGATGAAGCTATCCAAAACTGAATTGAGTAGATTTTGCCAGCATAATCCTGACATTTCAGCTGCTTGCATGCCTGGTACCACTGCATTTTCCACACCTTTATAACTATAACTCTATAGTTAAATAAATGAGAGAGAGCTAGGGCTGAAAGTGTCTACTGTCATTTTGCAAATGTAGAAAATGTAATCTAAGTGATCACTAACTTGATCAAAATCACATAATTTGTGAAAGTTATAGGAGGGACTGGAATATGGGATTTTTTTTTAATAATTTTTTTATTGTTATGTTAACCACCATACATTACATCATTAGTTTTTGATGCAGTGTTCCATGATTCATTGTTTGTGCATAACACCCAGTGCTCCACGCAGAATGTGCCCTCTTTAATACCCATCACCAGGCTAACCCATCCCCCCACCCCCCTCCCCTCTAGAACCCTCAGTTTGTTTTCAGAGTCCATCGTCTCTAATGGTTCGTCTCCCCCTCTGACTTACTCCCCTTCATTCTTCCCCTCCTGCTATCTTCTTCTTCTTCTTTTTTTTCTTAACATATATTGCATTATTTGTTTCAGAAGTACAGGTCCGTGATTCATCAGTCTTGTGCAATTCACAGTGCTCACCATAGCACATACCCTCCCCGATGTCTATCACCCAGCCACCCAATCCCTCCCACCCCCCACCACTCCAGCAACCCTCAGTTTGTTTCCTGAGATTAAGAATTCCTCATATCAGTGAGGTCATATGATACATGTCTTTCTCTGATTGACTTATTTCACTCAGCATAACACCCTCCAGTTCCAGCCACGTCGTTGCAAATGGCAAGATCTCATTCCTTTTGATGGCTGCATAATATGGAATATGGGATTTTTAAGACTGGTACAGTGCTTAACCATTATACCAACTGCCTCCAAAACAGAGAAGCTACATATATCAACTCTTCTACTTTAAAGATTTATTTATTTATTTATTTGAGAGAGCGAGAATGAGAGAGAGAGAGAGAGTACATGAGATGGGGGAGGGTTAGAGGGAGAAGCAGGCTCCTCGCTGAGCAGGGAGCCCAATGTGGGACTCAATCCAGGGACTCCAGGATCATGACCTGAGTCAAAGGCAGTCACTTAACCAACTGAGCCACCCAGGCGCCCGTCAACTCTTCCACTTTAATCAATCTTCATGTCTTTGGGAATTCAGGTATTCAACTCCAGGGCAATATAGTATAGTGGTGAAAAGAATACGCTATGACAACAAACTGTCATGACTCAAATCTCGATTCAGCCTGGGTATATTTGATTGGCTAAGTAAGCCTTATGTGTCTTTTGTATCATCTCACCATCTATAATTACATAAATCCATTTATTTAAATATTCATTTAGATTATTATCTATTTAAAATTATATACATCTACGTAGAAATATATAAAATGATAATAATCTCTACCTCATAGGGTTGTTTTGAGGGTTAAGTGGGGTTTACTGCAATGATAATAGTGGCTGGCATAGAATAAGTGCTCATTAAATATTAGCTCTTTTTGTGATTATTTCCTTCCTGTTATCTGCTATATAAAAATGTCTCTAGTCCTTGGCATTCTCTGAGGTGGTTAAGAAGTAGAAGGGGGTAAAGTCCTGTCCCAAAGGACAGTTTAAAACATTAATACTTAGACTGTCTAAATCTTCCACTAAGAAATTTGGGAGGATAATTTACATTTACCATTTATATTGTTATTTTTAATGGTAGGGATTAGATTAACTATGTTGTCACTGTACTTAACCATACAAATACCCATAGGTTCAAAGCTTTTGTTTGTTTGTATGTTTGTTAGGTACTACTGAAATGTCTATTACCTCATGCCTATTTTTAAACAAGCCCACTTCCTCCAAAATTTGTCACCCCCCAATATCCCTGTTCCAACAAACACATACAGACTCTCCTTCAAGCTTTATTTCATCCCAAGAGTTTCTCTTTTATGAAAAGAACCAGTAAAATACTATCATATTTGCACAGTCTCTTCAGTCTACAGTGGTTTAAAGTATCTGTAACTGTACCTTTTTTTTAAGATTTATTTATTTTAGAGAGGGAGAGAACGTGAGCATAGGGAAGGGCAGAGGAAGAGGGAGAGAGAGAGAATCTCAAGGAGACTCCACACCGAGTGCAGATTTCCCCACACAGGGCTGGATCATGCAACCCTGAGATCATGACCTGAGCCAAAATCAAAAGTTGGTCGCCCAACTGACTGAGCCACCCAGCCGCCCCTCTAAAATTGTACCTACTAATGACAGTAATGTTTGCTAGATTTGGGCTATTCGGGCAAGTAAACATTTGCAAGACTATATGTATCTTAGTGTAGAAAACAAAAAGGGAGAAGAAAGGGAACATTTGCTGAAACATTTTTTCCACACAAAGCACTATTTAATACAGTGTGGGAGAAGTAAAAACTAGAGGAAGAAAAAGAATTTAGAACATTTATAACCATCTAACACCAGGCACACAAACCCTTAAGACAAAAATCCTTCTTAATTGCTTTCTAAAGCTACTCTTGAAAATTTTATATATAAGTACCTTCCAAATTAAAATTTAGCTCTCTTTTAAAGAGGAAACTAAAAATTACTGTATCTCATAGTGAATTACATCTCCCAATGGGACTTTTAGCCTATGATGTGCCAATATTACTAGGATGTCTTTCTTTTCCTTCACTGAATGTAGTATATGTAAAAAAAAAAAAAAAATAGCTGTCATTTTATTACAGCCAAAAAAAAAGGAAAGGAAGGAAATGCTTTCTTATGGAAAGCATTTGTAAATATTTTGGCAAGCAACTTTTCTCTAAAACGAAATATTATGTCCCAGGAAGCATTATAATGCTACTATGAGTGGAAAATCACTCATCACATACACACACACACAGAGCAAAAAGTAAATTATGCTATTTCTTGATTTCCCTATTCCTAATTACACTCTAGGCAAGGCTTTCCAATAGTGCCCGATCACGAAACAATGGAACACAACTGAGTACCTGACTTAGCCACTAGTGTGACTAGAGTTAAAGGAATTTGATTCTTTGGCTCAGTTACAGTATTTTGCACTAACAATTATTTCACAAAGCTGTGATATGCTTTAAACAACAAGAGAAGGTATTTAATGGGCCATTGGTTCCAGTTCATGTTTGAACTCTCCCAGTGACAAACAGGTACTT